CGAAGTGGGGGTCCCCAGCGCACATTTATGGAACAAGAACTTGAAGGGCGAGATTCCTGGGCCAAGAATCCACGTCCCAAGTGTTTGAACCCTATTCCGTCTACACGTGAGGACACCTATTTAATCAACAAACGTGTGATTAAAGATCGGATTTTTCATGAATCACTTCGAGAGGGAACGTTACGCGATTTTTAGGAAACTAATTCTACTCTTGTGTGTTCTATATGCCAGTGATTCTTCGCCTTATAAGCTTATGAGTGTCTTCTAATAACTTCAGTGGCTGGGAATCAAATTCAAATGGTATTTGAGATTGAAAGATGCTCTAATATAAATGTCGTATTCTGAACTATGTAACATGCACAAGAGTCTTCTGTGTGTTATCTTATCTACTTCGAATTTGAATTAAAATAATAATAATAAAAAATGTTCATTTACAGAAAGTTTTAAACGAAATTTTAATTACATAGTATTAGAAATGGATGCATCTTTTATTGATAAACGAGCTCAATAATGGTATAAAAGGATTTTCAATTAACTTATAAATATTTAAACATAATTTTATATGGAAACGTTTTAACAATCTGTATCCTGTTCTCTAACATTAATTAGACAAATATATTGTAATATTTGGAAATTTATATATCTCAAATGCAATTCTTTTTATACAGATTATCAGATTGTTTTCTCAGCATAAAAAATAGAGCTCCCTAGACTCGTATCTGCAAATGTTACGGATTAATTTTTATAAACCAATCGTAATGTAACAAGTAATATAAAAAAGTTTTTTTAAGTCAATTCCTACTTTGAATGGATGAATAGAATATAAAGTATTTTATTAATGACTGAAAATTTGAACAAGATAAATATATTTAAGACCAGGAGTTTGTTATTGTACTACAGTGTCTAATATTTCCTATCTTGAATAGTTATACTTAGGTTCTATATATATTTATGGATTATATATATATATATATATAGATAGATAGATAGAGAGAGAAAGAGAGAGAGAGAGAGACCTAATAGTAGGAATTGAAAAAGGAAAATGTAACAAACCTTTAAATATAAATTAGCGATACTACGTCGCAAGGAGAAATCATGTTATTTTTTTGATTTATTATTATTATTTTTGTTATGGGGGAGACATGGTGACAAATTTTCTTTAAAAAAATAGACTATCAGCATGATTCTTTTAAGTAGCGAAACTTAAATTTTTGATAAATGAAAAAGAATGCTGAGAAAAAAATAACAGATATATGAACTGCATTAATGCCTTTTATTAGTAGTGTGTATGAACAGATTCGACAGTTCCTGATATGCATTTTGGTGTTTTGCTGACCTTCTTCAAAGATAACAAAAATATAAGAAATTGAAATCATCATTCAAAGTTTTGATGTAGTGTTTCCTTTTGTAAGAGTATAATGTAAATTAAAAAACTTCATACGGGAGAAAATCCACTACAAATTAAATAAATGCTTACAAAATAGTATATTTTTGCTCTCGATTTTTTTTTTTTTTAATTTTCCTTCTTTAATAAATGATTATTTCTTTTATTCAAAAAATTTTTTTTTTTTGCTTATTATTTCTTACATAGTTCATGTGATTTTTACGTTGGTTAATTATTATTTGTCTTATTTATTTTTTAAACTTTTTATTACGAAGCTTTTCTATACAAGAACATTTCAACACATTCCATTCCAACTTTAAGTTGTTTATAGATGTGTGCGACTTATTTTTATGTTTAAATTGATTGTGATCAGTTTCATGATTTTTTTTTTATTGAAGTGAATCAACATGAATAAGACAGGTTTTCATTAAAATTTTTTCATAAATTATTTTAGTTTTCTAAATTTGACGTTTATCTAATTTTCGGAATTTCGGGAGCCTTTATGCATCTCGAGTTTTAAATCTCTCTCCTTCGTTCGTCCAACATTCACACTCGTGCCTAGTGAGACAGATTTTCCCTTGAGGCCTTTTCTTCACGTGAGTCGATTCACTTCAGCCTCGTGTTCACGCATCCCCTTATCGTTCGCTGGCCGCGGGACCAGGTCATTGAGACCGCAAAACCAATGGATTTGTTTTTCTGATATGGAATACGTTCTAACAGTGGCCAGTCGCGAAACGATTTGCAGCTGTAACATTACGCTTGTTTTGTAAAATATCTGCTTTTTAAAATTAATTCTCTTCGAAAGATTTTAAAGGAATTAAATAAAGCTCGCAAGAGAGAAGTTGGAAATGAAGTTCTTATTGGAAAATGAATGTTTTTTCTTAATTTATTTATAAAAACAAAAATAAAAAAAAATAAGGAAAATTGGATGAAAGGAAACATTTTTGCCTTGAACGCTTTTGAAATCTTCTATATCTAGCTATCTCCGATGACAAAAAAATAATATTAGTCAACTGTTCCAAAAAATAATTTTTTTAAAAAAACCTGACACAAGATACTTTTAATAAATATACAGATAATAATTTTATACTTTCCCTTGATTCTTAACGATTTGCTAATAGAAATCGGAACTATCTGAACCGATTTTACAACTAAATATTAAAAAAGTAAAAGAAAATCTAATATTTTTCTATAGTTTATTTCCTCTAGTTATGCGCTTTGCCATCATCATACCTGTAGCATTATCAATATGTCCCACGTTAAGCCTTTTTGTCAAAATTCTACTTCTTAAAAATTTGTTGAGGTTAGTAACTATTTATTTTACCCAATCGATAAAATTTTGCTCCAAAATTTGTGTTTACTTAAAATGTTAACTTTTATAGAAAATAATATTCTTAATTCCTCCTGTATAGTGCAGATTTGTTATTCCGAAACATAACTACTTTCTTTCAGTCCAAACTTTATTTCATACTTTCAAAAACTTATTTTGATGGTGTGTAATGAAATAAAAAATATGCATAGAAAATTTAGAATATGAATTTTTCCATCTCTTATTCCTCGATTTAGGAATAAGTAAGCAAGAAACAAATACTTATAAAAAAAACAGTGAAAGAATTTGTTTTAATTTTTCGTAGAAAAATATTACATTTTGCTTATAAATTTTAAAACATGTTTTCTGAAAAAGGGAGAGAATTTAAAACTTATTTTAAAACAGATATCTGATTATTCTTAATAATTTTATGACGGTAAATTATTGGAATTTTCATTTGTAAGTTTGATAAAGTTTCGATTTTAAGAAGCTCACTTCCTCGAAAAGGAAAACAGAAAGCTAGTCAAATTATTCATTCAACTGTGAAGAAGTAATTTATTTGCTAACGGTCTTCTAATGTCACATAACTGTTTTGGAATCAGAATGAAAAGAATTCTACTAATTAGCAAAATGACTAAAATGAGAATATTGAATAACATTTGAGGACAACTGTAACATTATCGAGCGAGTTATTAAAGCCGATTTATGCTAATATTTCTGTGGAAAAAGTTATGACTCTTTCTAATTAATTTAATTATTAAAAATCCATCATAATACCTCAAATAATAATAAATACTTTTTCCTTTTTGTTTAATTTATCGTCATATTATTTTGTTTCTAATATATCAACAGTAGATTACAGACACGCACAGATGAAAGAGAGTTTTTAAGTTCAAGGTTAGAACACACAACTTGCCGGCTTTGATTTTTAAGCCAATAAAAAAAGAATTTACATAATTTCTATTGACAAGGGAGCATTGATCACTTAAAAGTAACACACGGATGCATATTAAGCAGACATTGATTGATTTATCAATAGCATGCATTATGACTCACTGAATGCATTTCTTGTGGGATCATCTATCCATAACCTACAACATTCTGAAAAGAAAAAAAAATTACTCAGCATACTAAGTAGGAAAGTAGATAATTGAAAGCATTTATCAATGGACTTGGACGTGATTGGGGTCCGTGGACCACCGTGTCCGGCGTTCCTGGAACAACTCTCTGGTAGTAAAAGGCTACAATTAATTTTGCCAGACAATGGGTAATTGAGACATGAGGGCCAACATCAAATAAATTGCTGGTTTACCAAATAACGGTAATGACAGGTGTTTAGCGTACTTTAATTACACGTTTCGTTATCTTCTTCGAGTGAATACTGCAGAATGTGATATTCGTTCGTGTTTTTGTAGCTTTGTTTACACCCAATATCTGTTTATAATCTATAATTTGTAAACATAACTATGCGAGCCAATTTCTTAGATCTGGTTTTCCTTGGAGATTCTCGGTTCTTTATAATATCAGATTTGTTCTTTTCAACTGCAAACGTAATTGTTGAAATAGTAGATATTTTTCATTGTGTGCTTAAAGATTTTTTGATACTTAGTGAGTTAATGTTATGTTGATACTGTAATGCGAATGCCTCAGTCTCCACTATTGTGTACGTTATTGGATAATAAGAAACACCATTGTCTATTTGGTATTTTGTAATATTTTTCTTTGTAAATTTTCTGATAAAGCATTTGATTTACATCCCGCTTATGTTGATGTTTGTAGCATTTTTAGAACTAAATATGAAATTCCGTAATAAAACAAAGTTCCCGTATACTGGCCATTTGGAATTCATCACCTTAATGTTCATCCTATAAAAATTCTTTTTTCCTCACACTTAGAGCAATGCATCGATTTAAATGCAATAAAGTGGTATCGAAAGAGCGAAAAATAATGAACGTTGCTTAAGAATCACATGCTTGAAAATGTAAATATTTCTTAAAGTGCTAAAATTAGCTAACGGATCTTCAAAAAAGACATAAAAATAATTTTGAAATCAATGAGAATAAGTTATATAAATTTTTTTTTTATTTTAAAGTCAGTTCTTACTTAAGACAGCAAAGAAAATTTTTATTTTAGTTACTTTTTATTGAATAATTACAATGAATATAAATATGTATATATATATGACAGAATCACACAATATTAAGTGGCAAAATAGAACGCGCTTTTCCTCTCTATATAGGGTATTGGACTATTATTTTTGTTTGTCACTATTTATTCATCCATAAATCTCATTCTCAAAAATAAGGCCATCCCAGGTAGGATTCGAATCCACGACATTTGAATTAGAAGTCAAACGCGCTATCCATTGCACTACAGGGACACAACGAGCAATTTTCATTTTTATATATGGTGTTGGACTATTATTTTAGTTTGTTACTATTTATTCATTTATTAAGTTAACTAATGAATTAATATTTGAAAAAACTGTATTAACATCAAGTGTCATCCACTGCAAGTTTAAAAAAATGTATCTGAACTTGAGTGGATGAATAGAAAGTATTTTTATTAACGACTGAATATTTAAACAAGATATATATCGGGAAATTGTGAATTAATAGTAAGAATTGAAAAAAGTAATTCCATAGAAACTTTCATTATTTTTTTCTTCACTTTACGTACTGTGTTACATTCAAATAGATACAATACACTGGGCTTGAGAAAGAAAGCAGAATTTCTTTTGGACATCACAATCTTAAATTGAAAATAACCGGTTGGCAGGAGCTTTAACGAATATATCACAGTAGTTAGTAAAATGATCACAACATTTTTATTCATATTGTTAGTAGTGGTGTAGCTAGTTCTGAGTGGGCCCTGTATCAAAATTCATTCGGAGCTTTTTTTAGATATGAGGGCTCTGTTAGTAGGACTATAGTTACACATGTTGGGCCCCTGTAGTTTGGGGGCCCGTTTCACTAATACGGCGGTAGCCACGCCCCTGAATATTAGACATTTCTCCGGAGGAACGAAGCTTTTCTTACCATATCAATATAATTTAGAGCGGACTCGGGATGGCGTGTCATGAGCCCAAGCCTCAGTGTCACTGAAGACCCAACGTGTAGAGAGCCTGATGCACCATAAACCTATCGAGGCTTGAAGTCCTCTTGTTGGGGAGATCACCGGGGGGACAGTTCAGGTGTCGTCTTCGTCATTTGACCATGGCTCAAAATTACGAGGCCCGCCACCAATAGCCTTTGTCAGGGGCGTAACTTACACCCCTGTAACCCCTGCATTGCGGGAGGCGCAGGGATTCTAGGAAGCCTAAGGCCTGACTGACACCAAGTATGTAGTTGGGCTTGAGGTCTAAGGCCTGACTTTGAAGGGGGGTCCTAATATTCTCCTTTACGCCACTGACTCTTGTGTTGCTTTTTAGAAGGGATAAGCAGACTTTTCCAGCATACGGTCTACTTCGAATATTTTCAAAGTTTTGCGATCCTCTGCCTGGCGTAGGTGTGGTGAGAGAAATAAAAGGTCTACAACATTTATCATAACTTAATAATAAGCACTTACTTAAGTAACTAAAATTAAAAAAAAAAACTTACTCTTTTAAAACCGCGTTTAAAGCCAAACGCAAGATACAAACATAATACTAGCCACAAATATAATAATATCAAATGATGCATTTATTATCAAGCATTTCAAAATACCTTAAAAAAATCATACTCGTCTATAGTTCTCGTAGTTATAGGCAGTAAAAGACTTAGTGTGCATACTGTGCGCTGATCTTCAACATCTCGGTATATAATTACTAATCTTCAGGGGGTCGCCCTAAAATGTCTTGGTGGTCCCCCCGTCGATCGCGATCGGCTTAATGCCCACCCCTACTTTATAGTATGACGTTCATAGATACTACGCCTTAGATAAGAGTATTTTTCTTCCTCCACTGATAGAACTGAGCACACATCACATGTATATTTTAAAATGCGATAGGTTAGGAACTCTATGGAAATGAGGCATTAATTTACCTCTTTTATATTATAATTTCTAACGTAATCTGATAATAAAACTTTGTATATGGCCCTAAATATCAGAGTCTCGAAACACATAGATGTATCAATATAAATCCAGTTTAAACAATTTAAGGAATTCAATTAGATACTCTTATTGTTTTATCATTAATTTTTTGTAAGAATATTTTAACAGTTGGCATCACTTTTAAGGATCTTAACGAAGAGAAACGTAACACTTGTCAATTATTTCTTGTTTCTTGTCCTTTTTAAACACTTAAAAGTTCTTTTTATCCCATTGGAATTAGCTTCATTTATGCATGAGAGATATGATGTACAATGTAAAACACTCGAACAAAATCAATTGGGCGGGAAAAATTAGGCTTCGTAATAATTCCTATATTCTAGATGAGAAATGTTTGTCGTTTAACTTATCATAGTTTTTATATAACTATTCCACTATTGTATATAAATCTATCCAGTAATTGTTACAAAGAACAATTGCTGAGGGGGGGACAAAATATAAAAAAGAACTTTTCCTCTCTTCTATTTAATATTGCATGATTTCTTATATCAGGCTGAAACTAGCTATTATTTCCGTCGTCACAAATAATTTTTCTTGTATACATAATAACAGATCATTGAGATGGTTGAAAACATATACTTATGTAGTATGGTTATGATTGCTACCCGCGAGTTGTGATTATCTAGTTATTTATTTTGTGCGTCTATGTATAAACTCGCGTGATCTGAGACACTTACTGTAAGTAGATATTACACATTCACGAAAATGGCGCCACTTTCAAAGGACAAACATGGCCGCCTCTGAAATTCATCCACCATTTCACAGCCTAATATGAAATGAAGATGTTTTCATAGACAAATCTGCGAGTTGTAATTGATTTCTTTCAAAGATCAGATCCTTGTTAGGGCTTTTAAAGTACCTCATAATTGGAGGTTCTTCTCTCGCTACCGAGTCTAAATTGAACGAAAAGGTCTTCAGACAATAAATCTTATCTCTTCAAATGTGTTTTCACTGAACATTTACTGCCGCTACGCTTCTCAGGGGCGTAGGGACCTCAAGGGCAATTCTCTGCCCACTGACCGTTTTTCTACACTTCTGTGGAAGTAAATAAACCCTCCGTAACTTTAATCTGGCCTTTCTTTTTTTACGGCATCATAAATTTTAAACAACTCAACACACTCTCTGGATGATAGGTCGTAAATTACAATTTGATCGCTTCTACTTTTTTATTGGCGTGTAACCGTGGATCACTCCGCAGGATGAAGAGTGTCCGCACTTAATCTTGGAATTTCCTTCTTAAAGTGTTCTTTTTTAACCGTTTAAAAGGCTTAGCTCTTATCAACAACGTTAGATGAGTCCTTAGGGTTGAGCTTGAATAATTAGGGATGGCAAGCCTAAATTTTTTTTTTATCTAATAAAAATAGATATCATGATGTTTTTGTTGCGTAAGTATTTTGTATATGCTTAGGAAATAATCTCTTTGGAAAAAAAAAGAAAGTAATTTTATTAGAATAGTATTTTTTCCTTTTTGTATTACTCCAGCAACCGATTTTAAGCTCATTATAATCGTGATGAAGAAGACTTATAAGATGTTTGCAGTCTTAAATATACAAGTAATTAACTAAAGATCAACGGTAGCTTTTTCTTAAAAATTAAAAAAAAAAGTTTTTAGCTATTTATATTTATTTCATTTTAAATTTAGGTTAAATTCTACGTTTTTCTACTTTTGATGATTATATTACCAGAAACGCATTTTTTATATCAAATATTTAGAAGTTAAATGTTTCCTGGTTTTTATAATTTAAGGAGATTTTATTTTTTATTTTATTGGTGTAATCAATTACATTACTTTCTGTTTGTCCGATTCTAAGATATTTTTTATGTTACAATATCAGTGTGAGATGCGGTATTTGACTACTGTCACTTAAAAAAAAAATCGGAGTACTCTTTTGAGAGTAAAATTGGCAGGCAATATGTTCCCATGATCAACAGGAAAAATTAAAGGCCTTCTTTTTTTTATTTCTTACTGGTGAAAGAAAATGTTTTATTTAACAATTTGAAAGCAATATTGAGTTTTAGTAAACATTTTCCAAGTCTTTCAAAAATATATTCTGTATAAAAGTAGTATTACACGCAAAAGTAAGGACATTTCTTATTCAATATGAGTCTCTTTTGAGTACATGATTAAATATCACGCAGATTTAAAGGAATACTGCATTTAATTACTTCGATATATATATTATGGGTGTGGGTGTGTGTGTTTTATTTAAACACATTCGAGGGTGGTTTTCAAAAAGTATATTCTTTCATTTCTTAAAACTATTCATTAAATTATTTTTTTTGTCTTACTTGTTACGTCCTAATGTTTTCAAACTGATTAAACTTTTTAATCAAAATTTATAACATTTTGTCAATGAAAAATATCATTTTTTATTAATAAAATATATAATCTGTAATATAATTTCCCCGTCGTTTAAAAATAACCACAATGATAACACCCAAATTTATAAGTTTTTGATTACCGTACTTTAAATATCGTAAACTTCTTGACCGCTACTTATTTAAAAAAAAAACTTTGCATTAGTACGCATGCATATAAAAGAATAAAGGTTTTAATTACAGCCGTACAATGCGAAGACATTTAAATTTATGAATTAAGACCATCAAAACAATCTAAACACTTTGTGGTAATTTTAAGAGTATTTTCGTTGGTCTTTATTGTTGATTCTTCACATTTCTTCGATTTGTAACACCAATTTCCCAATTTGAAATGAACTGTATTATAAAGCAGTATTTATAAGAGATGTAGACCAGTGGAAAATATTTTTATGCTGTATTTTGGAACTTAATCCTCAAAGCGGTCTGCACGTAAAATTCCGCCATTCCAGAGAAGCTTTTTCTGCCTTCAAGCAAGATTCCCAAAAGCGGCCGAGCCGCATTCTTAAAAATACAGCTCGACCGCTTTTGAGAACTCCACCTGAAAGCAAAAAAATATGTGCGGTGCATTTTTGAAGCATCTCCAGAATGGCAAGACTTTAAGTGCAGACCGCTTAGAGGGTTAAATTTGAATATTAAAATATTTTTATAAATGTATTTATTTAATCATTCTGATTTGATTCATATAAAAAACAAAACAAAAAGATTTGAATTTTACATAATAATTTTTTGAGTTGTATATGACAGATACTATATATTATATGTTATGTAGAATATGCAGAAAATTATCTAAGACATCTTTTTAAGCATTACCGTATTAGTCCTTTGGAAATGTTATCAACTTATGTTTGTTTGTCGAGTGAGATATCAAAAATTCAGAAACTTGGGTTATAAATATATCCAGTTCTAATGTAT